CCTACCTGGGTACTTTCCCTTACTAGCTGTTCAGACTTGGGCAAGTGATAACTTTTTTTAACCAGTGTTCTCAACTGCACAAAAGAGTTAAAACTCCCAGGTGCACACGGTGCCTTACACAGAAAGATCAGCCAGTAAATGATCACCATTACTATTATTTATTCTTTGGTCCTTATCTTCCACCCACTAAGCCCAGTACCAGCTTCCAGTGTTTTCCTACCAAATCAGAAAGCCCACAATTCCAGATCCTTCTGTTTTGGCTGTGGAGGATGGCTGATGCCTTTTCTGTCTGTAAATCCTCAACCCTGATCAGCCTGTTTTCTAGCCCCAAGAATGTTCATTTTCCATATGCTCCCCAGCTGGCTACCAGCTCAGTCTCCTAAAGGTTAAACTTGTGTTCCAGGGCATTCTTTTCCAGCATTACCTTCCCTTAAAAAAATGCAATACATCAGTGGTTAGGATATCAAAGCAGCTACACACACACACACACACACACACACACACACACACACGCAAATGAATGCATGCACACACGCCCATCCACCTCCATGCATCTCCTTGTGAAAAACCATCTAACTCTTTAGGCTGTATTTCACAATTTCCCAGTAAACTTTTATGCTTTCTTGCCACAGAGACCTCTATTATTGACAGGCAATGTCATTAACTGAACTCTGTAACAACTCTGCCAAACTCCTCAGTGATAGCCAGCTTCTAGAAAAGGCTTCTGATATCTCTTTGCCTTCTACTTCCTTGCTTGTCTGCACCCCTGGCTCCCACCACAGGCATGTCTGTGCTTGTTTCATTGGCCTTCTGTATACTGTAGCCAAATATAGGCCAGGACTGAAGGAAACAAATCCACTGCCCCTCAGAGTACTTCTGACCTGCTCGGTGGTTCTGCTCTTCTCAGCTGGGCCAGCCTCCATCTGGAACCAAAGACCCAGGGGTTCCAGTCAACACTGAGGGGCCTGCATTGCAGCTTGTTGTGAACATGTGTGCCTTTTGAGACATCCACTCACCCGGTGTAACTTGAGAAGGTATGTGTAAGGAGTCTGGGTCTCCTTAGATTTGGGGGTTAGTCTGAAGAAGGTCCCAGTTGAGGGACCTTTCTGATTCTAGCCTGCAGTGGCTGTGGCTTGTCCTGGGTTTGTGGAACCCCGAGCACATTCAAGGACCTTGGGCCAGGGTTGAGGACAGTGTCGGGGGGCAGGGTTAGAGTGGAAGGAGGGACCGCTGTAGGCTATTGGCTATTCTCCAGGCTTCAGAGCACCCTCCCTGGGGTTGAGCAGAGCTGGAGTTCTGGGAGGCAAAGCCAAGCCTAATCGAGGACCCGGCATTGGATTTGCACACCCAGGGCCATCAGAGCTTGAAGTCTGGGGGATGCGTCTTCCTGGTGAAGCCAAACAAATCTCTAGGTAGCCATAAACTGACTACACAGATTTCATTTCTGAACACATGTTCAAAGGTGATAAAATAAATGCAGATGGTTCCTCCAAGCCTCAGTGGAGCGTTTTTACATTGACTAAATAAACTAAAAAGCACACATGAACACATATAGGGGAAAGGGAACAACAAAGAAATCCTCAAAAATGCCAACCCTCATTGGGTACAAGTGTAAAGGAGATGTAGCAAGAACAAGGCCATCTCAAGAATTTGCGAGAAGGAACAAAATACACACTCGTGCACATCGGAAAAGCACATCGTTGCTAGTAGTTCCACTGAGGAGGGTTAGGAATACCTTTCTTGGTTTGTCAACTGAGGATTCAAGTCCAGTTAGGAAGACTGGGCCAGGGGAACTAGGTGAATGTTACCCTGAAGACTGCCTCCTGGGAGTTGGTGATTAATCAACATACTTTAATCAGGGTCAATCCTCCACTGTGAAGTTTAGAAATTCCTACCAGAATTCCAGAATGAGGACTCCTGCAAATCCCCCAATAGCTAATCATCATCATTGTCATCATCAGTAACACTCAGAGGGACTTACAAGCCAAGAACTGGATGATTTGATTACATTGTGAAACAATCTTATGAAGTAGGCTCTATCCTCATTTTATAGACCAAGAAACAACGGTTCAGAGAGGTTAAGCAACATGCTCAAGTTCACACAGCCTGTAGATGGAGGCAGACTGTAGACTTATGAGAGGGCAGAGAGAAGCCCCCACCAATGGCCAACAGAGCTTCTCACCGTTGCCATCAATAAGAAAGTGAGGAGTGTCCAGTCTGGTCACAGCTCTCTGTGCAGGAGAATCTCATGATGCTGAAAGGCCCCATCAGGACAGGTGAGCTATCCATGGACATGTAGATGCTGGCAACAAAGCTCAGCCAGAGCCTGTTTCCTCCTATTCAGTGAAGTTTGTCACACTGAATCACACCTCCTTGTGTCCTGAAGCTCCAATAGGAAACCAGGCAATAAGGGAAGATGAAGGTGAGTGTAGAGTTTTCCTGGAACCAGACACCAGCCCGCCAAGTCTCCTCAATCACAGCGATGAGTTTAACTTTGGAGCTATCTCAATGGCAAGTATTGACGCTGGATAGAGACGTGCCTCCTGGGAACCCTGAGGAAGGCTCCACCCTGGGCCCACAAGCCCAACATGGTGACTTTGGCAGCACTTGAATGCCCTCTTGTGCCAAAAAAGTTACTGGAACCAGGTAATGCTTCATTACTCTGCCACCCAGCACAGGGGAGGCAGAGCCGTTCCAATGGCCTGAAGGCTGGAGTCCTTTCTGGAAGGATTTCATCTCATCCTCAGGCTCACTCTCTCGCCAGAGCTGCCCTTAGCCCAGAAGCACACTGCTTCAGACTTGCTCTCGACGTGCAGGCAAACTCCTTCCGCTAGGGATCTATTGTTTAGGGATGGTGCCTTCCCAGACTGGGGTCTCTGTCACCCAAGCCCATCTCCCCAGGTGGCCAGGCCCTCTAGACAGGCTCTATACCGACTTGGAATAGCAGTTTTAGAAAAGGAGCATTAGTTCCAGCCTGAGAACTGGGCTTGGCTCAATCATAAGACAGCCACTACTCTCAACTGGTCAGTTGTCTTCTTCCTCATGAAGCAGGAGCTACAAAAGGTTTCCATGCAGGCAACTAAGCTCTCCTTTTCCCTAGGGCTGTAATGTTCATTCTGAAATGCAAAGTGTTGCACAGAAGGCAGGGGCCAAGGAGGCTTAGAGAAGAGGAAACAAGACTGTGTCCTCATTCAAGCTTGGATTTACCTCTTCACTCTGCCACCTGCCTGCTCAATGACTGTGGGCAAGTTAAACCGTCAAGCCTCAGTGTCCTCATTTGTAAACTGGAGGTTGTAATGCCTACCTCAAAGGGCTTGTGACAATGAAGGGTGGCAGTGTTTGCAAGTGCTTAGCAGAAGGTGGGCACAAGGCAAATTCTTCATGTCCTGCCTTCAAATTTTAGGCATCCAGAACCAAGTGTAGTACAATGATGCTCTTAACCAAAGCCACTGCAATTTGTTGCATCTGTTTCAAGAGGCTCATGCCACATAAAGAACATATATTTTATTAAGCATGTGTTAGAGAAATCTTGGGGCCTGGGCTGCTCTAGACAGAGTACACGCAGGCCCTGAAGGCAGGGCAATGGAGGAAAGGCACAGGACTGGGCTCCAGAGCGGGAGGGTGGGTATTTGTGCCTCAGACAAGATGGGAGATGAGAGTCCTTGGGCTCTAGCACCAGGGGGAAGGTCTGCTTCCCAGTGGGGAAGGGCTTGGGAGAACGACCTGGGGGAACTCCTTAGGCTTGCCTTTGCGAACTGGTGTGGCTATCACCATGGCAATCTCTTTGGGACTCAGTAGCACCTTCCTTCCATCTCAGAATGATGAATCCACCAAAAAATGTTACAGAGGGATACAAGAGCTAAGGAAGAAGAGGAAGGGAAGGAAGATGGAACTATGTCGAATGCCTATCCTATGCTAGGAAGTCTAGTCTATAGTGGTTATTTAGCTGACCCTTCATGATAACCCTGTGAGTTGTCAAGAATCCCCATGTGGGGACCTTCTGACCCTAGGAAACAGAGGCTCGAAGAGGCTTCAAAGCCATGCCCCCAGTCACAAGGAAGTGAGGACCTAGGATTTGAACACAGGTCTGACTCCAAAGTGCAACCATCTTCTAATTCCTCATGCAGCTCTGGGAGGGGCCCCGATAGGAGTGGGGAGGGCATGTGCTCAGAGGATCTCTGATGAGGAAGGAAGTTTGCTGCCATGTGTAGATTATCCATGATCCACTTCAGCTTGCTTTTGGGTAACTGTACAATTATTCTGTTACAAACAGTTAAAACATTTTTTCCTATATGCCTAAAAGGATGAAAACCACTTACAGAAAGCAAAACAAAAGGCAAAGCCAAAAACCAAAAAAGAATCCAACCCTTAACCCCAAACCCCAAAACAACAAATGTGCTGAAAAGAAACTTCCAAAACTAAAATTGCCAGGTTTGTTATTATTGTTCCGGGGCCGTAATGTTGGAGCAGATCATGATTTTAATTGGCAAAAGCGACAGCAGAGAGAGGAGAGAGCAAGTCCTTGATGGTGAGCTTGCTGGCCAGAAGTTAAGTGTGGAGCTCAAAGCTACCAGGTATCATTTCAACGGACGTGGTAACAGTGCATTTAATGAACTAATCAAACATGAAGTATGCCAGAAGGGGGGACATCACTGCGTCTACACACAACTCTGACAGCATCTGATTTTAACAAGTTTACTAAAACGACAGTCATGGCCTTGACAATACTGAATGCAGAATACTGGTGTACACAGATTTTACAGAGGGACAGAACGGCTCCTGAGAGCCGGGTCACAAAATAAGGTTTAACAGATGGGAGAGGCCTGAGGGAAGGCAAGCACACTGATTTTATTGAGAAAAAAGCTTATATACTGTAGGGTTGCTGAAGTTTAATAAATAAAGGTCAACTTATAATATATAAAAACAATATAAACATTTATATGCTACATGCATATCATATAATTTAAAGTAATAATTTATATATGGGGAGAGATGCCAATTTATGTTCTTCCAATTTTTCTCGACAAGGCACACACACAGGAGGTGTCTATCCGTATCCATCGCCAGCCTACAAGTTTATTGTTTTCTGACGTCAGTGCGCGGACGTAGGTTTGGGAAGTTTTGCACTGAGAGTTCCAGTGTTTATCGTCAATCCCCCTGCAACCGTTTTTGACAGGCCTGGCTTCTTTACATCTCGTCTCATAAAAATATTGTTTGACGGGAGAGTTGCCGGTTTTGATCTCCCCCAGCACCGTGACCTGGTGTCCCCGAATGTCGATGGCCGAGGACTTGTCGGTTACCCACAGGCTCTCGCTGTCGCATACCGAGTACTCACCTCGGTGACTCTTGTGCTCTGCGTACCTCTTCCTCCGCGACGTTCTGTTGGCCGCCACGGGGTTGCCCACGTAATCCTCCATGAGATACAAGGGAGGGGGCTCCAAGGGGGTGCTGTCACTCAGCAGGACCCGGGGCGAGCTGTAGCGTCTCTGTTGCCGCAGGAGTTCTGTGTCCATTGCAGTCACTGGCTGGAACTCCGACTTGGTGGGCTCTCCCTGCTCCGGCTTTCGGGGGGCTTCTGCTTTGGGCAGGGTGCTCTGGTAGTTTTCCTTAACGTCCACCATCTGCTTGGAGAGCTTGTTTTTCAAAATATCTGCCTGGATCAGTTTAATAATCAGGGAATTTAGTGAGTCTTCAGGCAAACTCCTTTGATCCATGTTGTTACCTTGGATGCCACGGAGATACGCGAGAAATATCACATAAAACAAGATGGACATCACCTTGTTCACCTGTAAGATCTGAAAAGGAAACGCAGGTGTTAGTAGCAGGCTGTGGCAGCTGAATCCATGTCATTCTGGGTTGAGTAACCCTGTGAGAGAGCAAGCAAGAGCAGGGTGTCACCTTCCAGAGTCCTCTCTGATGTCAGGGACCAGGGCTGTCAATTTCTCTCCTTGGGAAATACCGTCTCAATAGGAGTCCTCTGAATCTTTAAAGTACCTTTTTCTCTTAGACCTCTCAAATCTTCCCTCCAGCATTGTGGCTGTGTGATAGGGAAAGAAGTGTGTGTGTGTGTGTGTGTGTGTGTGTGTGTGTGTGTGTTGTGCAGGTGAGAGACAGAGGGCAAAATAACTTTTTTTAAACCAAATACATGAGTGGTGAGATCTACAGTACACAAGAGTCAGGGCTCTCCCCAGGACCCATGTTCCTAGGAGCCTCAATGGCAGAGGGAGGATGAGGTGAGCACTTTGGACTTCTGTCTCTGCTCTCAGAAATCCCCGATGGCATCTGCGTTTGATGTGTGCTCTATCTGCAGCCGTCTCTTCTGTGTGGACGACGTCCTGCTACTTCTTTAAACATCACTTGAGGGGTGCCTGGGTGGCTCAGTTGGTTGAGTGTCTGACTTCAGCTCAGGTCATAATCTCACCATTTGTGGGTTCGAGCCCTGCATCGGGCTCTGTGCTAACAGCTCGGAGCCTGAAGCCTGCTTTGGATTCTATGTCTCCCTCTCTCTCTGCTCCTCCCCCATTCACGTTCTGTCTCTCTCTCAAAATAATAAATAAACATTAAAAAAAAAATTTTAAGTATCACTTGAGCCTGAAAAGACCAGAGTCCAATGTACCTTGGCAAATTATGAAGAAATTGAATCTAAAAATTATAAAGGTGTGTTTACATTCTTTTAGTAACAGGAGCAGACTTGCAATTGTCTCAAGGAACAGAGCTCTACTGCCCTCCCCCACACCTGATGAAGCTTCTGGGTCTCTCAAAGAAATACCTGAGGATGGGGTCAGGTCAGCTGCCTGCATGATGTAGCCTCAGAAATGGGCTCCTCCCTCGCCAGGCCATGTCTGGTGGACCTGTTCTCTTGACCTTGTAATGAACTTGTGGGCTGCTCCCCACTCTGTGAGAAGGCCTAGCCAAGCTCTCCAGTGGACATGCTTCACCAGGGTGCCCAACTGCTTCACAGAGAACCCCCCTCCCCGCAAACCCTTCACAAAGGGGAGGTCCTGCCAGAGCGCTGCTTGTAGGAGATGGAGACAGAGCAACAACCAGCTCAAGTTAATGGGCTGGACTTGCCCTGAACAGCAAGATTCCCTGTGGATTCACTTTTGTTTGTTTGTTTGTTTGGCCTTTTAAGTTTCTAGTACAAAATGTTTCCTTTGGTGGCTGTGTCTTAATTTTGCTATCTCCTTGTTGAAGTGGCATTTTAATCCATCCACACTCTCCTTCCGTTGCCACAGCAGAACCTTTAGACGTGGTTTCTGTCGGGTCCTTACGGAATTATAGGGCTGGCCTCAAGATACCTTTCTGGCTGGTTCTCTCTCACTAGAGCAAAGCCCAGCTCTTCCGAAGGTCGGTGCTGCAAGGAGGCGCTTCAGGTGGGGAGGGCTGGCTACAGGAGTGATCTTCACCTGTACTCCGTGATCCACAGCACTGCCCTGAGGTTTCCATCCCTTAGTTACCATCACTACCACCTCACTGGCCTCCAGGGCTTCGCAGTTTCCTCTTTAAGGCTCTAAGCATGGAAAATAAAAAACCTTCCCTCGGTTCACCTTTGGTATTTGCAGAAAGACTTTACTAAATCCAGGGGGAAAATAGAAGGGAAATAAACAAGAGCAGCACAAGAAACAGAAGCAGCCCTGCTTACCAAGTACCCATGCCTGAGCTTGCCCACGCTAACTAGCTCCCGGGACTTCCAGACGCAGCCTCTTTCCTGTCTCGTCTGAAGCACTGCTCTCTCGTTCCCAAAGGCCAACAACGCTGCAAGCACTTCGCTCCAACTTCCTCCTCCTGGCTCTTGGCCCACCTCTTTGATAAGGGGACCATCTTCTTTCCATGGGAACCACTCTTTTGGGACAAATGACTCCTTCAAGGTCAAAGCCAAAAGAAGGATTCTAGCTTTGCTGCCCACCCCTAGAGACTGTCCCAGGAATTGTATTATCCTAGGAAAGTGGTTCCCACAGGATAACTGCTCTCCCTCCCACTCTGCGTATCACTGACATTTCCTTCAATACTGCAGGCTTGACAAATTGAAACTTGAGCCCAGAATGAATGGCATACGTGTAGCTAGAATTGCTCATTCCCCACCCCCAAAATGGAATACAGCTGCAATAAAATAATTGGGACTAAGAGTCTATCAAAAAACAATTTATGAAATCCTCTCAAGGCCCAGCCACTGTAAGCTAAGAATACATAGGATACCTGCTCGTGGGGAAATAGATCAAGTAGGGTCAGTGAGAGGGATCCTAGGGACAAGGAGAGTAGATGTGTAGATTAGCAACGTAATTTACAAGGGGGAACGGACAGGAAGCAAAGTGGATGGTGCCAGTAGATGGCCTTGAGATACAAAAGGAAGAATCTTTATGGGGCTTGAACACGGAAACAAAAGGTTGTAGGAGTAGAAGAGAGATATAAAGCATTTATATCCAAGCATTTAATCCAAGTCCTGCATTTTATAGATGAGAAAAACTTAATTGCAGTTGAAAGAGGAAGAGAAATGCACAGGGTAGAGGGATCCCCTGCACTCCTGGCCAGGTGGCCCTTTTGGTCAGATTACAGCTGGGCTCACGCTCCCAGGACCCAGCCTTGTTTGCTCTTCCAAAAGCTGCCAGGACAAGCTTTAGGAGCCGTGTGCACGTGCCGTTCCTCTCCCCTGGCACACATTCATCACCTCTCCTGTTGAAGTTATCCTCATTCTTCAGTGCCCAGTTGGGAAGCTAACTTCTCCACAAGACTCCCTCCCCCACCCCAAAGTAGTAACCACCACTTTCTTTGCAATCTCTCAGTGTGTTTTCCAATTGGCTGTGGTACGAGGTATCACAGCCCTCAGGGCACTCCATGCTTTACTCACAAGATTCCCTCTTTTCCAAGGCCAGGAGCCCTTTCCTGTCTGTGCCTCTCCCCTGCAACCTCTCCATGGTGAATACGAGGTGGAGGTCTGGGTGCAGTGAGCCAGGAACAGAAGTGCGGGTAGCTGAAGTCAGGACAGCTACCTAAGTTGCAAAGCCTTGTGTGAAAATAATGGTGGCAGGAGGTGTGACTGTATGTGAGCAAACCCTCCCAGCCCTCAGGTGTGTGCTCCATGGTCCCACCAGACTTCACATATAAAACACAGATTTGAAGATAAAATTCTTAAGAACTTCAAAATGGTAACCATGGAGCATTAAACCGTGAGTGTGGGGTCCCCTTCTTGAGTGCAGGACCTTGTGCTATGGCACTTGCTGCACACCCAAGAAGCCAGCCCTGGCTGCAGAGATTGTTTGAAGGTAAGAGTAGCCATCCATTTTTGGTCAGGAGGGACAGGTAGAGCCCAGTCCACCAAGGACTGCATGGGAGGGTGTCCTCCTGTTCAGAGCTGTGGACGAGGGCTATAACGTCAGCTGCAATCTGGCTGGGAGAGCCTGGGGTTGTGCAGAGTGAAAAGGCCCTCATGACTATCTGTTTTCCTTCCCTGGGCAGTGACAACCAAGGAAAGTGGGAATTAAATGGGGGCAATGGGAGAAGTCAGGATCATCAGGAAGGAATATTTTATCACTGATATGGCTAAAAATCACCAAAGCATGCTGACCATAAAAAGCAGACCGACTTTTAGTTGATCTTATTACTATTTTTAGGTTCTCTCCTGACAATACTCACTGCTGTACCTGGGTGGACCTGCTCCTACCACCCCTACCTTGTTTGGCATTGCCTCTGGGAGCCCAGGGCATGGGGGGAGGGGGTTAGAACACAGGTCTCCTGATCTTTTAGACAACTCTGGCTCTCTCTCAAGTCCCAAGCACAGAAACTCAGCACAGAAAAATCAGGCCATCATGGGTGGGGGTGGGGGTGAGACAAAAAAAAAAAAAAAAGTGCTAATATAACAAAGTTTCTAATGCCTCTTAGCATCAGTCCTACCTCTTTCTGGAGCTCCACTGTTTCTTACCATCAAATCCAAAATCTTATGATGATACCTGGGAATACTCAGTGGGCGGAAATCATCTGCAGGCTGGTCAGTGTTTCTAAGGCACTTGCCAGGCTGCATTAAAAACCCAGCAGGAGGGGCGCCTGGGTGGCTCAGTCGGTTAAGCGTCCGACTTCGGCTCAGGTCACGATCTCGCGGTCCGTGAGTTCGAGCCCCACGTCGGGCTCTGGGCTGATGGCTCAGAGCCTGGAGCTTGCTTCTGATTCTGTGTCTCCCTCTCTCTCTGCCCCTCCCCCGTTCATGCTGTGTCTCTCTCTGTCTCAAAAATAAATAAATGTTAAAAAAAAATAAAAAAAAAAAACAGCAGGGTGGGGCACCTGGGTGGCTCAGTCAGTCAAGCATCGGACTTTGGCTCAGGTCATGATCTCACGGTCCATGAGTTCAAGCCCCATGTCAGGCTCTGTGCTGTCAGCCTGTGCTCCAGCCTGTGTCTGGAGCCTGCTTCAGATTCTGTGTCTCCCTTTCTCTCTGTCCCTCCCCTGCTCATGCTCTGTCTCTCTCTCCCTCTCAAAAAATAAACATTAAAAAAAGATTTAAAAAACCCAGCAGGGTGCCTGTGGCCTCCACCTTGATAATCTGCTTGTAGATTTTCTGTAGAGGGCAAGTCTAAGAATGGTGCTAATAGAACTCTCTAAAACACAGATGTTTGAAGGAAACCGAGGCGTGCCGTGGGGTGGAGGGCGTCTTCTAAGGTTCGACGCCTCAGTTAACAGTAAAGAGTGACAGAGGACACCTGGTTCCTAAGCTCAATAAAGATCATGTGGCTCGTGCATAGTCAACATTATTGTGAGAGGTACATAATGAAATCTGTATGAAAGCACTGAGCACAGTATC